TTACCTTCTCTATGTTACCAGATTATTTACATGTGTCTCACTAATGAATCCCCAGCTTGAGGCCTTATTTCTACTTTAAAACTTCTTTGAAAGAAACAATCCCCCTTCCTCTCCTCATACCCACACTCAAAAAGAAAAAAAAAAAAAAAGGGTAATATGCTGCTTCCTGTTTAAGGAGATCTAAAATTGGATTCCTCCTCCAGGAACAAGGAATGATATTGTTGAAAAACCACGGACAAAAACTATTTGAATGTTTACACCATGGATGGGAAAGGAAACATTTTTGGACGCACTACTAAAATGTGGGCACCTTCACAAATATTTTCTAATTGAATTATTCATGACTCCTCTTTACAGGTCAGGAAGGTGAGGCTGAGAGAGGTCAAGTGTACCCAAGATTGCAAAGTGAGCAACAGCAGGAATTCAAACCTGTTTTTTCTTATGTAGATATAACCCGAGATAGTATTGCAATCTTTATTTTTAGAAAACTCGCTAATCCAGGTAGGAAGAGGTTAGTAAAGATGGTGAAGGAAAATGTTTGAAGCAAGGTTTCTAGGTCCTTTCAAAAATCCTAACATTGTAAATAGGACCAGCATCATGGGCAAGTGATCTGTAGCATCACAGCGACATTTGTTTAGAAGTCCACATGCTTGGTTTAAGGTTCTGCTGTTGCTGTATTGAAATCTCAATATCTTTTAAAGAAAGGCCTCCATGTTTCCATTTTAAACTGGGTCTCACAAATTATGTAGCTTGTCCTTCCTGCAAGGGCCAACAAAGTGACGGTAAAGTTTATAGATAAGAGAACCTTCCTTGAGGAGACAACAGGTGGTTAGCTCTCAGTGTCAGGGCCACATGACTTTCTGGAGCAGAATAAGGTCGATGCCTTAGACAGGAGATATGCTAGGGGATAACTTTCTGGGTGTGTTGCTTTCTTTCCCCATCTGCCTGGTCACTGTTTGTCAATGTATCTTTTCAGGAAAGAAAATAGGAGCCCCAACCCAGTACCAGCCAGAGGAGAGAAACAACATTAGGATAGCACTGGAATCTGACCAGGTGGACAGCTAATATATGAGAGGGAAGCAACCTGACCTGCTTCTCAGTGCGCCCTCTTCAACTCTCCATCAAGTGAGCTGGGAAGAGTATGGGAAATGGGTCTTGGAACAAAGCACTGTCCAGACTCCAATCAGTGGGAGGTTCTCCAAGGGGTCCCCCTCCTTTGTGTGTATCTGGGGTAGAGGGGCAAACCAGAAATGGTGGAGCCCTAATTCTAACAACAGAAGCACTCAGGGGCATCTCCCCACACCTTGACCCCAGTTCACCCAGAAAAGGACAAGTTAGAGAACTGGCTTTCACACCTCCCATGCCTTACCAAGTGAAGTTGCTGGTATCCAAGGGAATATTAACTCACAGGGAAAAATAACATCTGATGAGCACAAGCAACACACCGAAATAGCTAAATCAGAGGACACAGAATTAATGCACTGGACAGACCAACAATTTAATATATGAACAAAGCACACCTTAGGATATAAAGAAGGACGTTAGACAGATGAAGCAGGAAAAAAGTTATGAGGAAGAATCAGTGTGAGGAATGGGGTATGAAAAACATAATAGCTGAAGTGAGGAACTCAGCAGAAGGGCTAAATAGAAGAGTCAGTGGACTAGAAGCCCAGGTATTATAAGGGATAAAGAAATGGGAGGCTGTTAACATTATGAAGGATAGAAGTACAACATCAATATCTATGTAATAGGACTTTCCAAAGTTATGCGGCATCTAGGAATTACCATAGTGAACATCACAAACGACCACTTAAGATCACAAACAGCTACTAGATGCAACCAGTGTTGTGGGAAGAAACACAATGAAACCTATGCCTTAATACCATCTATGCAACTTGAAAACATGTAACTCTGTATATATTTTAAGAATGGGAATATGTCTAAAGACACATATTGAACCCATTAGAGTAGGTGCCTGTGAGAATGGGGATGTGAGGAAGATAGAGAATGAAGGGGGAAATAATAAAATAAGCCAAGAGAGTAGCTGACCCGGAGATCTAGGATGAATTAAAGAGTTTGTGTAACTCTATACTGAGGACCAAACATTTAAAAATAAATAAATAAAGATAAAGGATGGCTAGGTAGGCAAAAGGAGGCTAAATCACTAAAGTCACTAGAGAATCACAGAAAGACACTAAAAGAATGTTTCTTTCTTCTGGAAAGAGGATTTAAAACAGACATGAGTCAAACATCCTTTTTTTAATACCAGGCACTGTCCTAGGTGCTGGGAATACCAAGATGAGTAAGATACTATCTCCACATTTAAGAAATATTGCTATTTTCCCAATCTAGTCCTATCATTTCAGCCATCTGTGAAAAGGTGTTTTTCACACTCACATTGCTTTAAATTTAACAAGCATAACAGTTATTATAATCTAAATCCTGTCTCTTTTATGAGACTGAAACTTAAAGGGACTTTTAAGGTCACTTAGGCCCACCTTCTGCGGCCTCAGAATTCTCTTCTATTTTCCAACCTGCAAAGTTTACTTCCCTGTAATGACCATGCACTGTTATCATTTCTTCTCTAGGGAATGGCTGTGGATAAGTATGACCTCTGAGACAACTCCCGTCAGTCTCTTATCTCTGGGTTGAACATTGCTAGGACCTTTAACTCTCATCACAGACAAATTGGTCTGATCATTGTTTTCCCTTATTCTACCTTATTTAGGAATGATCACCCTTGCCTAACCAACCATTCATACTCCATCCATCTGCTCAAACCCCACCCTTCTAGAAAGCCAACCTGGATCACCCCAGAACAGAGTGTCACTCCCTCTTCTGCATTTATACTGATGGGGTCTCTTTCAACCCATGTGACTCAGGGACCCCTGCTGCCTTGAATAACCAGTTATCTTGACATTGGACTATCTAGTGTCCCAAATTGATGACAATTATCTTAAAAAACCTTTTCATCAATAAGTTATGTTTGAGCTTTCATCTCTAAATAGATATTCAATATTTGATAATCTCTAAAGATGCTATTGAGATTAGGGGTTCCAAAGGCCAGCCCATAGTTGAAGGAAAATCTTATATCATACAGAATGCTTTGTGGGAAGTAATAAAACATGAACTCCCAACAAAGCAAACATACAATTTTTTTTTTTTTAGAAAATAAATTTATTTGCAAGGATGCTATAGATGCTATAGGAAAATAGGCTTCTCTGCCTCAGTTTCCAAAACCAATTCGGCCTCAAAACTACTTACTGAGTACATGGGGCAATACACAGCTTCTGTATGAGATCTGTAACTGGTTCCTGAGCGGCTCAGGACCCTGAAAGGAAGTAGTCATCTTGTCTGAAATATAATGGTGTTTATCAGGAATTCATACCCTTTTCAAACAATATTTGCTTGGGTATTCATATGGCTTACTTATACATATAACCAAAATGTGTAACTCTGCTATATACATTTATCCATATAATGAAATATGCTGCAGTTAAAGGATATTAGTTTACATAGGAAAATATTTATGATAAAGTTGTAAATGAAATAAAGCATGACTCTAATGCTATGTTTCTAGGGTTGTGTATGGAAAGACTAAAAGGGAGTGCACAGAAATACTAATAACAGTTATCTTAATAATGATTATCTTTGGGTTGAAGAATTCACTTTTATTTTCCTTTTATTTTTCTTATAGTTATGAAATTTTCTATGATGTACTTTATATAATAAAATATGTATTATTAAATTTATTTCTTAAACCACTTAGGTGTACAACAACATAGGAATAATGATGGAAAGAATATCTATGTTTTTCTATTTATACACATCATCAGAGCTACAAAGGTAAACTGTAAACTATGATATAAGCTAGACTGCGGTTATACATTAACAAATATTCTACTCCAAACTGTCCTCAGGGCTGTGAGAAACCATAATAAATCCACAGTTACAGTAAATATAACCCCAAAGTATGTCCAAATATGTCCATTTTTATTTATATGTTTTAAGGAAGCAACCATCCTATGCAATTCAGGTCATCTCTTGTGCTTAGCATTTAGGAATTTTTATAGACTTTTCACTGATAAAACTTGAGTATCACACGCACAGAATAAAATGCTATATGACTTCAATGAAAAAAACCTAATTTCTCAAACAGATAAACCAAATGCTGAAAAATTTTAAAGAATTTAAAAAATCATCAGCCATAATAGTCTTTTGTAACCGAATCTTTATCAGTCAGGCAAATATTCAAACCATACACTTTGAGTACCTATGTATCCTGTAGTGTTCAAAGAGAAGCAAAAACCAGCAAATGAAAACATCATGATCCCTATGAGGAGATTTCGGTCTAGATAAACGCAACCTGCTGCCTCCCCTTCCCTCACCCCTCCAAATCCCATCCTCCCAAACATGTAAATATTTATTTGCTTTGTATTCCTTATGTTTAACCGTTGTCTATTAGTGTTGGCCCACTGTTTTCCCGAGCTTCATGACCTAGCTGTACGTACAACTATCAACCACCCAAGATATTAACAACAGAAAGTTCTCTAAATCTTGAAACTGATTAAAGTATTCACTGTTCCCACTCAATCTACTACAACTGGACTTTCATTTTTCTGCAGATAAAAATGGAGCACCTGTAAAGAACTTTGGAAAATATTTATAGACCCCACATGTACAAATGAGTCAATTTCCAAATAACAAGACACAATGGTGAGAGGTGCACTGCTATGTGTCTGCTTTGCTCCCCCGGCTCTCAGCACTTTATGGTTCCATTTTGCACATCCACACACCTACAAGTTGTTGCCTGGCTGGTAGTTATTACTTTTTGCAAAACTAAGGAATGTGAAGCAAGTTAAGGAACTAGGGAAATATAAATGGGAACAGCAAGCAAACTATACAAAGAGAGTTTTTTAGTACTCCACTAAATTACCTACAGAAGTGTATTCAAGAGAAGTCCATGCAGTTTTCAATTATTTTTTTAATGTGTCTCTTACCTTTGCTTTCATTATCAGTTCCTCGTGTTTACGAATTAGCTCCTCATTGTCTGAAAGTGATGAACCTAGACTTTGTTCCTGTAAATCTCTTATGGTTTTCTGAAACCAACAAGTAACCTAGGTAAGAAGCAACACAGACAGGTCAAATTTCAAATGATTAGAATAAATGAATAAAAATCCAGAAATCCTTCCCTAAGCTTTCAAAACTTAAGCTACTTCAATTTCTTTTTATATAAACTCACGTGTTAAGTTAATATAATCAGGTTTTTTTTCTTCATTTCAATCTCTACATGCTTAAGAGAAAAAACAAAATCATACCCCAAAATCATGAGAACAATATATCATTTCATTGGATTACATAGCATGAAGAAAATAATTCAAAATCTCCTAGCAAAGAAGAACCAAAATAGTTTCCCAAATTTTGGGAATATAATTTCTCAAATTTATATTCCCCTATAAACCATGCATTCTTTTAGAATATAAGATTATGAATCTGAGTGTAGTTACACAGACTCACATGAAGATATTAAATAGCATATGCAGAATTATGTTTCTACTATTAAAAGACAATGCAGGGCTTCCCTGGTGGCGCAGTGGTTGAGAGTCCGCCTGCCGATGCAGGGGACACGGGTTCGTGCCCTGGTCTGGGAAGATCCCACATGCCGCGGAGCGGCTGGGCCCGTGAGCCATGGACGCTGAGCCTGCGTGTCCGGAGCCTGTGCTCCGCAACGGGAGAGGCCACAAGAGTGAGAGGCCAGCGTACCGCAAAAAAAAAAAAAGACAATGCAAAAATACTTATTTTGTTGCAATTGCTGAAAATCTGTATTCAGAAAATGACATGGAGAAGTTATTAAAATTCCATTGACATTATAAATGTCTAAGGGCATAACTCACATTCATTTAGACTTGATTTACAATATGTGCCTTACACAGTGTTAAAACAACAAATAACAAAAGACTTGAAAGAAGCTGTGCTTTTAAAAATGATGATGTAAGTTGACGTGAGACTGATAACATGTGGCCCCTGGATGCAGATTCCTTATCCCAATTAAAGGAAAGAGAATTGGAGTTTTACTCTCAAATCTTATACAGTATTATTCTCATGATCACATCATAGCTACTGATTCGTAAGAACCCCACTACATGCTAAACAGTTTGCTAGTTGATTTTGGGCATCATCTCTTTTTCTCTCAACAACTCTATAAAAAGTATGATATCGACACTGTAGAGATGAGGAGAGGTTAAGGAGCTTATCCAGGGCCATACAGTAAGTGGCAGAGCTGGGATCTGTCCCCATACCTACATTACTCCAAAGTCCATGCTCTTTCCACTGTGCCCTGCTACCATCCTTGGGTAACTTGAAGTCTGAGGTCATCAGGGGAAATTACTTCACATCTGAAAAATGAATCCTGGCAGCCCACTCAAAGTGGTGGCACTGCCCAGGATATACACTAGGTCTTTCTCCAGCCTAGCTTGTCTTGTCTGCCACAGCGCCAGGATTTCTCTGAATTCTTATAACACGGAGAGACATGTGAAGCAGGTGGCCAAAGAGAAAGCTACGTTAGTCCTGAAGCTCCACACAGCAAACAAACATAACAGGGCTCCCCTGGAGGTGCAGTGGTTAAGAACCCGCCTGCCAATGCAGGGGACATGGGTTCGAACCCTAGTCTGGGAATATTCCACATGCCATGGAGCGACTAAGCCTGTGCACCACAACTACTGAGCCTGCGCTCTAGAGCCCGCGAGCCACAACTAATGAGCCTACGTGCCGCAACTACTGAGCCCACGTGCCGCAACTACTGAACCCTGTGCGACTAGAGCCTGTGCTCCACAAGAGAAGCCACCGCGATGAGAAGCCCGCGCACCACAAAGAAGAGTAGCCCCCGCTCACCACAACTAGAGGAAGCCCGAGTGCAGCAACTAAGACTCAACGCAGCCAAAAATAAACAAAATAAGATAAATAAATTTATTTTAAAAAAGACGGCAAACTTAATGGATAAGTGTTAAAAAAATAAACATACACCACAAACACACACACACACACGCACACTACACAGAAGTCAAGTTAGGGTTTACGGAGAAGAATACACTCCTTTACCATTACAGGGCTGATATCACAAAGCTGATTATGAGATCAAATGTCTATACCAACACTTAGCATCTTCCAGCATGGAACAGGCAGTAAAATAGGCAGCAACGGGGTTTCTCCAGCTTTCTGCTAATTGGAAATCTTTGTTGACCAGCATTTTAGGCTACTGTCAGTGCAAAGAAAAGAATAACGGTGACCCTGTAGCAGTTTTCATGTGAAGTACGCCTCATTCTCTTCAGAACATTTGGTGATCTGTGCACAATACCCATATTAGCCGGTCCCCATATCTCAAGTACGGTGTTTATGTATTTACAATTATTTGAGGATGGTTTGTCTTTCTGGCATCCCAATTAGAACTAAATGATATGTATTATGTGTATATCAGAACCCCCAGAGAGTATTTTATCAAGAGCTATAAAATTTGTACATTAATTTATTAAATTTTTATTAAAATTTCTCACAAAAGAGGCAGTAGGCCCATATAAAAACACAACTAGAGGAATGATTTAAGGGTTTCATCAAAGAAAAATGGATCCTGAACATAACAAACTTTCAGAGATCCTTTATTTTATTAAGTACTGGGAGTGAGCTTTATTTTTAGCTAAAGTGGTAGGAACTCAAAAATCTCAAGAATGCTTTAATAGGGAAAGTTAATATAGAATCTGAGTGAAGAAAACATGGATACAAACAGGTGTTCACTAATCTCTAAAAACAGGTGAGAAGTCGGAACCCTCAGATAATCTTATTAAATTCTGTGAGTCAAAGACTTGTTATCTAACATATGCCAGCAGTGATGAAAGCTGGGAAGGAGCAAGATGTTTTGATTTTTTAAAGGTATTTACTGACCTCATCCCCTAGATTTGGCAAATACTGTTTCAGCTCCCCCCAAAAGGATACTATTCCCTTGGGCATGGCAATACTAAATATTACCTATAAGAGAATGTAAGATCTTTGGTGGTATTCCATATATCCTGATCACATACCTGCCTGATAAAGCATACTGGCTCTCTAGATCTACACATTTTTACTACCAAATGCACCCTGGGAAGAAACATAAAAACAGGTTGGCATAACACTCAGAAGAAAATGGTTCATCGTCAGGGTGTTACATCTCATCATGAGGCAGTCACATACATGAGCAGCCTCTTAGATCAGATTTACTTTGTGTGCTGGGAGATGCACGCAGAACAGACTCTCAGAGTCCATCTGATGTCAAAGCAAGACACCCTAAATAACCGACAGCATGTCAACCATAATGTAAATCAGTCATTGAATCCCGTGAGTAGCTATTGCAGACAGCTGCACAGATATTCCAAGAGCACTTTTTATAAGCGTTTAAATTATATCAGCTGCTGTTCGAAAGCCTCAGTGATAAGTACAGTAAATGATGCATCAGGACATTCTATTCTATAGAACATGGTCCCTGCAAAAGGATAAAAACATGAGCCAAGGGTTGGGGGCATGTGGAAAGAAAGGAAGAACAAAAAGCATTCAGAGTATGCACAGGAAATTGGTTCTGGGCAATGATGGATTAAAAGGTAAAGCAAGAATATTTTTACTTTCTCTTCGCAGTTCCTACCTTTCAGATTGATCTAAGTGATATGTTTGTAGCCATCCCACCTGTCTGACATGACATTCTAAGTACTCAGTACTCAGAGGAGGTAGAACTAAGGTAGAGAAGGAGTGGGGTAGATCTTTTTTTGCGGAGAGGAGGTGGGGATTGGAGGGGAAACACTTACTAGAGGTTGAAGGGAGCCAGAGAGAAAGGGAAGGGAAATCAACAAAGACGCAAAGAAGGAGCAATCAGGGATGTTCAGTGAAAACCAAGAGCTGCCTTGGAAGTTAAAGAGAGATGCCAGGAAGACTCAGTCAAATGGTGTAGATCTGCTTTGTCCTATACTGTAGCTACTAACCACAAATGGCTTCTGAGTACTTGGAATGTGACAAATCCAAATTGAGATGTGTTCTAAGTATAAAATAGCTGATTTCATAGACTTAGTATAAAAAATAATGAAAATATCTTGTTGATAGTTGATATTGATTAAACGTTGAAATACTATTTTAGATATGTTGGATTAAACAAAATATATTACTGCTTTTCTTTTTTTATGTGACTTTTTTCTCTTTAAATTTTTTTTCACTTTTTTAATGTGGCTACTAGAAATTTAAAATCACATTTATGGCTTGTATTATATATTTTATTGGATGATTCTGTAATTCAAGGATATTCAGAATATCCTTATTTGTTAAATGTAGATCTAAGGACTGAGTATTAATTAAGGGTAATTTAAAATAGTGGAGTCAAGAGAATGGTGGGATGAGATTATGGTTGGTAAACATGAATAGACCACTGAGTGGTGGTGAGGAAGTAGAGCTAATGACTCTTTCAAAGAAGCTTATTGGATAAGGAAAGGGGGGATTGGTTGACAGCTTCAAGGAAAGCAGAGGTAACAGAGGGGTTCTTTCCAACTTTTTCATTTGACTAGATGAGACGTAAGCATTTTTTGTAGGTGCGGGGTACTGAAGATGCATTAAGGAAAGTTGAGGCAGGAATGTATACCAGAAAGAGTGGGAAGGTGGGAAGAAAGCACTACTGACCTTATCAGCTTTGGGCAAGAAAAGGCTAGTTTTTTCTTGTTGAATGATCCAGTCTCACCTGACCCCTACTGGGAGATAAGAATGAGGAAAGTGAGAGAAGTGAATAGGACCTTCCCAGAGCGGTGTCAGGTACTATCGGCAGGTCTCAGGTTACCTCACCCAATCCTTATACCTCCTATGATGGAGGCAGTTGCTTTTTCAACAGATAAGGAAACTGAGCCCCAGTCAGGGTAAGCAATTCATCTAAGGTCACACAACCAACAAGAGGAAAGTCCTACAGGTCAAGGCAGAAATGCCATAGTCAGAATTCATGCTTCCCTGTCTAGTGTTTTTTCTTCTCATCATATCCATCTGTAGAACCAAAGGATTCCAGGGAAGAGGAATGTTTCTTATTACACTATGTTCACGAATGTTCTTAAGATAAAACTAA